ACTGTTTCTTCTGCTTTCTTTGAGTTTATTGTTTGACTCCTTTAAAAAAATTTACTTTAAAAATATATTTATTGACTTCAGAGAGGAAGAGAGATAGAAATATCAGTGATGAGAGAGAATCATCGATTGGCTGCCTCCTGCACGCCCCACACTGGGGATCGAGCCCACAACCTGGGCATGTGCCCTAACCAGGAATTGAACCGTGACATCCTGGTTCATAGGTTGACACTCAACCACAGAGCCACGCCAGCAGGGAAAATTTTTACTTTCTAAGTTACACTTAGTTCATCAATTTTTAGACTTCTTTTCTGATGTAAGTATTTTAACATATAAATTCCTCTGAAAACATGACTTTTGTTATATCCCAGAGGTTTTGATATGCAGTATCTTTATTATCATTCTGCTCTAAATTTTAAAATTGTGTTAGTTTTTCTTTGAACCATGAGTTTTGAAAGATGTGTTTCTCTGACTGTGGAATATTCTTAGCCATTTTCTCTTTGAACAGTACTCCTCCATTCCCCCTGCCCCCATTCTCTCTACTGTTTCCCTTTTGAACTCCTACGTGTATCTTCTCTCTATTTTTATTTATTTTTAATGTTAAACATTGATTTATAGCATTTTTTGAGTCATCTATTATCTCCAGTCTTTATGATGTTAATTTTCCTGTTTGTTTTATCTGCCACTTTCCCTCCAGTGAGCCATTCTTATGGCATTTGTATTGTTTGATTGTGAGCTCATCTTTAATGGAGGACTTTCCCCCTGTGGGTGTTTGTGGTGTTCGTGGCAGTGGAAAGTGGTTTTGCATTTGCTTCTGAGACCCTTCGGGTCTTATTGACCCGGGCAATTAAAACAAATTATTGGCTTGTAATTCCAGCTTTACATTTAACTTGTCTAAATTCAGACTCCACATCCACATATGACACAGTTTATAGTTACATTTCTCATTGATGCATTTTTCCCATTACCTACAGCTCTAAGTGAATGGCGTGGTTTCTCAGTGCTCCCCTGGGTTGGTGGGAGAGGTTCTCTAGTCCTTTCTATAGGGCTGGGATGCCTCTATGAGGTTACAGTTTTACCTGGGGAGTTTGGCTGTATTTCCCACCTTGCATGGGCTGAGGTTATGCCCTTTAAACTTGCAGGGCATCAGCCTCTGAGGTCTGTATCTGGTTGTATTTACCTTTAGCTCCTGCTCACTGCTCTGTGTTGCACATCCTTCTTTTTTTCCTGGCATGTGAGGATTTCTTTCTCGAAGTGATCTCTGTGTTTAAAAGAATTTTCTCTTTATTTGTATGTTTTTTTTGTAGGGGTAGGGGGCCTGTCTGCATCAGCTCAGCTGGCTGTTTTCCTGCTCCTTTAATATAAGAAATTAGAGACCAAACACAGAATCCTGGGGCCCAATGACATAAGGTACAGAAATAGGAAGTGAAATCCCACAAGGAGATGGGAGAAGCAGTAGGAAAAAAAAAACAAAACATTTCTCTTTATTTGTATGTTTTTTTTGTAGGGGTAGGGGGCCTGTCTGCATCAGCTCAGCTGGCTGTTTTCCTGCTCCTTTAATATAAGAAATTAGAGACCAAACACAGAATCCTGGGGCCCAATGACATAAGGTACAGAAATAGGAAGTGAAATCCCACAAGGAGATGGGAGAAGCAGTAGGAAAAAAAAACAAAAAAAAACCAAAAAACAAAAACAAGGAGAGAGCTGGTCCTTGGGCAGCAGAGAAGACCAAAGCTTCGAGAAAGGTCCTCTTACGTGGTGGGAGGCCAGCTTTCCCCTGGGGTGGCATATGGCCCATCCTGCTCACTTTAGAAGGACAACGCAGAGAAACACAACCAGGAAATGGGCTGAATCTATAAAGGAAACCCAACACTGATTCTCACCTGACCCCCAAGGAGAACTGCTAAGGAGTAATTTGGAAACTTCTGGTTCCTCTTGTGAAACTGGGAAGGACTCTTCCCTGCATTTCAACCTGAATTGACCAACATCCACCCCACAGGACCTGCAGAGTCAACAAGGAGCGGGTGGCAGCATTTTGCATGTTGACCGTCATACCCTTCTCTGTTGTCTACAGCTGATTATTTCTGGGCCAGTTGTGATATATGTGATAAGAGCAAACCCAGGTTTCTTAGATCCTGGGCCTTCCTATCTTCCATTCGCTGTGGAACATCCTAGCCCGCATCTTTTTGGATAATGCCTTTTCCGCATCCCAATCACATAAATCATACACTTTGAGGTTCTTTTTAGGCTCTGATTGGGAAGCGCTGCGGCTTCTGTTTGGAGGAATTTCAGTTCTGGTTTTGAGGATTACAGAGGTCTTGCAGCTCGGAATGTATCTTGGGGTTTTGCAGGCTGAGGGCACCTGTGTGCACAGGTACCTGTAGGAAGTTTTCATACAATAACCATCTTATGTCATCTCATCACAACCTTGGGAGTGGGTAGTGCTGATATCAACATCCCCATTTTACAGATGGGGAAACTGAGGGTTAGATAGATGAAATGATATCCCCAAAACCCATGGTAAGTTAGAGACAGAGCTGGGTTCCTATTTCAGGCATCCCGCCTCTGTGCCTGGTGCTTTCCCTCCACTCCATTGTACCTCTGCATGTTGTGCGAGCCCAAATGGAGGCACCCGACTCGACACCAGCTTGCTGCCAACCTTATCACAAACACCATGAAGCTTCCCTGCCCCTCAGCAGCCCCAGGGTGGCGTGCCACACCCACACACCAGGGAAGACAAAGCTCCTCCCTCCCCTCTCTCAGTCCCCGTACCTGGGACACCCACCACTGCTGCGGACAGACCTCAGACAAAGGCAAATGAATTGCTGATCCAGCTCACAAGATTTATGCCAAAATTTTAATAGCATTTCTGGGAAGAAACAAGGGCCAACACCATCTTTCTTGGCATTACTTTTTATTGAATACAGACTTATAGTCTTTAAGTAATTTGAATATAGTGTTTTAAATATACAGTTCTTTAGTCATATATAGATTTATTTAAAGCACAAAACTATAACTCAGAATGGAAAGGCTATAAATGCACATGATTATTGCCATAAATCTAAAACTATCTTATAAAAATAGAACTCAAATAACGACATGTTTTGGCAACATAGCATATTGTAAGGTGGCCAAATACACTTTTATGATGCAGCACTGCCCCCCAAATGACTGTCTCCAGGTTGCATTTGCCTTCTCTCTGGGGAGGTCTCCTTTACCAGGGTCCCCACAGAGATGCCCGTGACCATGGCTCACTGTCGCCTTTGCATAAAGACTCTGTGCACCCACCTGTGCTTGGAGGCGGAAGACCAGCTCCCAGCCCCTCCCCCAGCAGAGGGATCCCTCCCCCCCACACGGCCCTTCACACTTCGCGAAGCCCCCACAACACATGGCTGATACCTGATAGGCAGAGTCGGTTTCCTTCCTCAGCTCAAAGAATGGCAGGTGTGAGTTTGATTCTGTCAAATCAGTATAAGAAGTTTGAAATAAAAATCCCTCGAACAGTGCCCACTGGGGAAACCCCATCCTGACAGTGGGCACCAGTGCCCACCTGCTGTGCAGGCCCTTCACACACCATCTACCATCCTCACAGCCTCACAAGGTTGGCACATTCTCGTTCCCCTGTGAGGAGGTTCCCTGGGCCCCAGACTGGCAATCTCTGTCTGCCCAGAAGTCCTCGGAGGGAAACCAGAAGAGAAGGCAGGTCTGCACGATGGTCCTCGGTGAGAACAGACCAGTGGCTCTGGGTCCGCTTACAGAGGGGCAGCAGGTCCCCGGTGTGCCCTAGACTCTTGGCTGCCACGTCCAAGGGGAGCAGGAAGGTGATGTCTGAGGGCAGGAGCAAGCACCTACAGACCCATGACTTCGATGGGCAGTGCCGGAATCTCCCACCCAAGTCCTCAATCCAAAACCCGGGCCTCAAGGACTTGACTGCTTGTGGCTGCTTGTGTTTTCAAAGAGCTGAGCAAAGGTCAAAATGCCTGCCCCCTCTCTGCCCTGCCCGCTTCAGCACGGGCTGAGGTGCAGGCAGCACGCACAGCGGCCCAGAAAGAGGTCAGAGTGGGTGCTCAGAACGGCACAGAGCACAGCAGGATGGGCAGGTGGGGTTTGTGGTGACTTCTCAGGACCCGCCCCACCCAGGAACCCGCAGTGGAGAGAGCTGAACTCGGAGCCTCCTCTGGACAGAGGCAGCTGCCTCAGCGATGTGCAGTTTGATTGTTCTCCCTGCTCCGTGTCCTTTTAGATTTCCCATAAAAACGTGCCCCGGTGGGGAGACCTCCTCGCTGATCACAGCCTCCAGGACAATCTCTACTCAGGTTCTGTGGACTGTCTGCCCTCCATCAGGGTTGGCTCTGGACGTGGCGGGTCCCCCTCCCGGCCCGCTGGCCCCTCAGCCCTGAGACCAGCGGAGAGCCCTGCCCTGGGCCCTCCACATGGGTTTAGTCAGAATCCCCGGGCAGCATCCTCCAAGGATGCCCTGCTGGGGCCACCACGATCATTTCTTGAAATGGATGCCACAGCAGTGCTCTTAAAAGCCTCTCTAAGGATGAATAAAACAAATGAGTAAACAACAGAAAACTCCCAATGTAACCCTCTCTCATCTCCTCTAAAAGGCAGATCCCATAGCGGGGCCTGTTCTGAGTGAAGGGGAGTGAGGAAGCAACCAGAGGAAACGCCAGTGCAGGGTCCGTGGGCAGCGGATGGCCCTCTCTCCCTCCCGTGCTTGCCCCAGCCTGAGTGTTTTCTCACCGGGGACTGCCCGAGGCCCTGGGAGGCAGCGAGCAGCAGGTCCCCGGGGCAGGGGCAGGGGCAGGGGCAGGGAGTTGTTCCTTCCAGAGTAGCCAGATCAGAAGCTGAGCTCCATGGAAGGCTGCCCCTGGGAGGCAAAGGGGCAATGTTTTCGTGGGCCCAGGTCACTATTTTACATTAACTTGGGCTGTGTATGTGTGTGTCAGGGGAGGGGAGGCGGGGAGGGGTGATTAACTTGGGCTGTGTATGTGTGTGTCAGGGGAGGGGTACTTACCCAGCTAAATGTGAGCTCAGCGCAGGCCCTGTGAATGATTAGGCTGCTTTGAATCCGAAAACAAAGCCCCTACTTCTCCCCAAAAGAAAAGAGGCAATGACCTGGATTAGCCTCTTCCCTCATGATTCACTAGGTACATTGCACTTAATAAGGCGACTCATTCTTCCTTCCGTTGGGCAAAACATGACCCAGCCGTGCTAGGTCCTGCTGGCAGCGAGTGAGGGACGTCAGTGTGCCCGTCCCACCTCACCTGACCCCTTCTGAGCCCGGCTGCTCTTCTCTCCTGTGCAATGTTATCAGGGCCCGGCCTGCCGCCGTCTGTAGCTAAGGACACTCCTGCGCACAGGGACAGTCTCCTGCAGACACTCCGCGCTGGGGGATCTCACTGTGCTGCGCATGGGGCCCCGAGGACAGGGGAGCTGCAGAAAGCTGGGGCGAGGGTGGGAGAGGGGTTCAGCAAGGGTCTGGCAGCTGCAGAATGCTAGGCTGGGAGGGCAGACGTGGTGGTGGGAGTCACAGTTAGTGGCACTTTTCCTTTGTCACCAGCGGCTTGCTGGCAGCGGTCGGTGGCGGGCTGCAGAGGCCGCCCATCTCCGCGAGGCTGTCTTCCACGGCCTTCGCAAACTTGGTGGAAGAGGTCTCCGGGCAGCTGTGGAAGCTAGAGACGCAGAAAAGGATGCTCTCGGGCTGGGGGTTGTAGCAGGCGCCGTACCCGTTGGGCACCACAGGCCCATAGCAGCAAAACATCTCCATGGTGGTGGGCACCTGGGGAGAGGACAGGTCAGCAGCCCTGGCTCCCAAATGCCACCCGCAGCCCGCTGGAGTGAAGGGTGTCTGGCACCGCGGCCTCCATGGAATATTTGCTTCTCTGACTATTTTCCACCCGGGCGTTTGACTGAATTAACCAAACCAACCGACTGCGTCAGCATGATGGCCACGGCCAGAGTCATAACAAGCCCATCTCACCGCACGACGTCAGGAGAAGAGGGGCCATCAGCCACTCCCTGGTGTGAAATCTGCTCTGCGTGTGGAGTCAGGAGCTACCAGATGCACCTGCCGCTGGGTCTCGGCTGAGTCTCTCTCTCACCTGGGGGCCGTTCGAGGCACCGAGGCAATCAGGGTAATTTACTAAATGGCACCCTGGTGACACCCACCGGCTCAGTGGCTTCCCAGAGGGGGTAATTGATGAACTGGAGGAAATCTGGCCCGTCGCCTCTGTCGATCCCCCCACATCCTTAATTACTGTCAGCACCGCTTGGCTGGTCTGATTTTTCTCCCCATGGCCTGGCACGCACAGTTACTCAGCACTGGTGTTTCAAAGTTTGCCATCAATTGGAGACTTAGTTATGCACCTAATATGTTTTTAATTCAGAGCGTCGAGATTTTGTAATCCGGATCACAAACCCAGAAAATGTGTTTCTGAAGGCATTCAAGTCATAAATGTTCATTTCCATGGAAAAAACCCACTGCACCCCCTTGACTTTATTAGCGTGTCTTGGGGGGAAATGGACCACATTCGGGGGCAGGTGCAGGGCGGTCTGTTTTAAACCAATAGGTCTGGGCACCATGTACTCGGGCCTTCAGAAATGACACTATTTTTTTGTGTTGTTTTTTTTTTAACGGGCAGAACAAATCATTAGTCTTGCTAATAGAGTCCCCTCCTTGTCAGATAAATTTGCCATGCGTCAGCCACAGGCCAGAAAGCCATGCCAAAGCACTTCTCGCCCACGGATGGCTTCCTGAAGAATTTATGTTGTTTCTGCCCTCGTTTAACCACGTCAGTGAGCTCACTGCAGTAATGAGAAAATCAAATTACTGCGTGGGCTTTTATCCTCAAACACGTGCTATGAGCTCCTTTTATTGCCCATGTCCAGCCTTTCACAGATGAGGTGGACTTTTAGTAAATTGATGTATTGGGGGGGGTGCTTTCTCTCCTAAACGGCTGCCTTTCTCGAATGATTTCATCCTGCCTTTGTGACAGTGATCCTCCACAGGACAAGCCTGCGGTGCTGGTTAGGAGCCGCCGGCTGGCAGCTCACACCTGCTGCGGGTTGCACGGCCTTTATAACAATAGCTGTGTCCTGCTTGGAGGGCCCTGTCGGCCGGGCCCTGGCTGGGCTTTCCACCTCCCTCATCGCACCTCGCTGGGCCAGAGCTTCACTCTGGGCCTGTCGGGCTTGGGGGGTAGCAGACTGAAAGGCAGTAGTGTGATGGTTAGGGCACCAGACTGGGTGCTTCCTGTCCTGTCCACCTCTGCTAAGGGGGCGTCTGTCATTACCCCCACTTAGAAGATGACACCCAGTGCTCTGATCATTTAGGTCATTTTGCAGAAAGTCACAAAGCTTGTGAGGTTGAGATATGGTCTTGCCTGACTTCAGCCAGGGCCCTATTCACCAGGCTCTTTAGAAAGCCCACTCGTGACACTAAATGGCTTGTTGGGCGACGGGCACCACGGGGCTGTACCTGGCTGGTGGAGAGGATGAATCGGTTGCTCGTCAAGTATGTCTCATCCGTGAACATCTCCGGCAGCTCCTTGCACATGTCCCGAGCCAGCTCCCGCAGCCCCAGCAGGTGGTTGTCGATGGCCATCCCTGTGATGGCCTGGGCAGCAGGGAACAAAGAATAGGAAACGAGACGTGGCTCCCACGTGCCTTCTCCCCTCCTCTCCGTCCACAGTGCTAAGCAGGACTCCCATGGCTGCAGTTACTGCAGTGCTTGCTGCAGGCAGTGTGTGGGCGGCGGCCCCGGCTGACCGCTTTACCGCGTGGCCTCTGCTCCTCGGGCCCTGTGTACTTTACATCCCCAGGATGAGTGCAGACCTGGCTGCTTTCTGATGTGCGTCTGAGTCCCCTCCCGTGGTCCTGCTGACATGTGCCATCACAGCCACTTGGGGCTCTGAGTGAAAGGAGCAGGCTGGCCTGGCCATCCCACTCCTTCTCGGGTAGGGAAGGGAAGGAGTCTGGGCAGAAGAAGCCGAGTGCAGGGCCCAGGGACTGCCCAGCCCCATGCAGGCCTGGCGAGGGATGCCCAGGCTGTCACTGCGCAGACTCTCACCACAACCAACACTTTAGCCTCCAGCGGGAGCCCGAGGAATGAGGACAGAGTGTGTTAAGATCTGTTCCTGAACCTTGGCAGCTATTTCATGGGCCCAGGACCAATTCAACTCAATGATTCAAAATCCAAGAAGTAATTTTGAGACAGAAAGTAGACATCTTAGCAGAGGCTCAGCTGACATTTTCAAGGGGAAAGTTTGTTGAATGAAGAAACGTTTTTTCTTTTTATCATCACAAGGTATTTGAGTTCTTATCAAAGGATAAGATGCTCTGTCGGAGGCGCTCAGGGTGATGGTGTGGCTGGGAGTGGGCAGTGGGCCAGGGCACTCATTCTACAGCTTTCCCACTCGAGGCTGCATGTGTAGCACACACACTGGTTTTGCCTGAATTACATGTCTGTTTGGGACAATTTGGTGGGAGCCACCTCTGACCGACAGTGATAACTTCTGGGTCAACATCAAGGCAATTGTGAATAACTCTTGGCGTGGGGAGGGGGGGCGGGGGGAGCGCGGTCACAGTTACGTAAGTTGGTCACTTAGCTGTTAAGCCCCACATAAGAGGAAACCTCCCATCACAGTGAACTTTGTTCAGGTTTACAAGGCACGTTTGGATTTGACAGCTATTCTCTTTCAGTTGGGAATGAAAGCATAAAGATGACTCAGAGGCCCCAGTCTCCAAATGCACCTAATTATAGGCTGAAAAGACATGTTATACAACCACAGCTCACATTAGACGTGCCCCAGTAGGACGGGGGAAGGACGGAGCCCCTCTAGGAAGTAGAGTGCACTTCTGGCTTCTCTGGTTACCTCTGTGTAATCACTGACTTCTGTAGATTGATAGAAGCAGCTACTCTGTGCAACAGCCAACCCACCCCTGTTTTCACCATCTCTGAACTTAGCAACTGGTGTTGATTTAACAGATTATTTGGATTAGAGCCATGAGCAATAATGAGTACAATGACTCACCATACAGTCTTTCATTCATTCAGAGAATCTTAATTGAGTGCCTACCATGTGCCTGATGTGGCTGGGCACTGGAGTGACAAGAGAGAACAAGGCAGTCCTAGACTCAACCTTATGGAGCCTTATGTGTGGTGGGAGGCAGATATTAAGCAACCATTCAAATAAACTGTGATTAACAACCGAGGTCAGTGCTATGAAGGAAACGATAGGTGCTGTGAGAACATGGGATGGGGGCCTGGACCACATTTGCTCCTTCACTGGAATTTCCTTTCTCCACCGCCACTGCCGAATATACTTGCCAGATATTGGGAGGCTACATGGTGGCTACTTGCCAAGTAGCTGGACAGTTGGTGCCTTCCCCCTGTCCCTTCCCGGACATGGCCAATCAGGCATCAGACTTACCTACAAAGCATCTTCATAGCTCCCCTCTCCCCAGCCCCTATCTCTCTCTTTAGTTGTTCCCATCAACTTAAAATAGTTAACACAAAGTAACCTTATGGTAATGCTTTGGAGGATAGTTTTCTAAATTTTTTCCTAAAAGTTGAAATTATTATCAAAGTTATATATTTATATAGTTTAATAACCCAAATAAACCAAAGGCTTATGTCACCTTGCCAGCACTGTTTCCCACTCCCCAGAGGCAACCACTCAGAACACTTGGCATTGACTTTCTTAGTTCTGCTTTATGGCTGCCTGTTTATATTTGAGAATAAAGCCCTAAAAAGATGAGAAGAGTGAGAATGTGCTTGCCAACGTGCACACACTGAGCTATTGCTTTTCCTCCAATGTGTCTTATTCCCTCAAGACTTTCTCTTTGCACATGCTGCTCCCTTCTGGGCCATCCTCTTGTTCTATGTCTGTTACAAGAACCTCCTCATCTTTCAAGTCTCATATTAAGCACCTCCTCCTCCAGGAAGTCTTCAGGAAACTCCCTAATGACAGGATTTACGGACTGCATTTTTTATTTCCTAACACCCAGCACTTTATCTGGCATAAAGCAGAAACCAAAAAATACCTATTGGATACATGAGAGTGAGCTTGCTTTTCCCCAAACAGAACAAGCACTTCACTCTTCAGAGGAATTAGGGACCTATTCTAGAGGACACATGCACTGAAAAGGAGAAACATCTACATTGGCTAGTTCTAAAACCCAGATTTGCATTGTACTTGCTTTCAACTATATAGAGTGAAATCTGGTCAACTTCTTTTCAAAGGCTGTATCAGAATGATTTGCAATTAATATATTGATCACCAGCCCTAGCTTATTCTCTATTGTTTGTATGCTGGCTTGCAGTGCTAAAAAAATAAATCCTTTCTCTAAACTAAGGAAACATTTCCCTTACAACTTTAATGTCACTATTAATTTTCACTGACTTTATATTTACCAGTACAGGCAGCATAAACAAAAGCATGGAGAATAAGAAGGCAAAATCAGCCCTGGGTGGGATCGACGCTGCCTGGCCTGTGGCTGTGCGTGGTGTGCAGGCCCCTGCAGCTTGCCAGGCCCAGGTGCAATCCCCTCGCATTTGACTTCTCTTGTATAAAGTGGAATTGCTATGCATAGTTGGTGCTATTATTATTGTTCTTGTTTCAAAGCCCATTCATTGTATTCTCATGAAATCCCTGTAGAAGGCAGCAGTGGTATGTTACCTAGGCTCTAAAAATAAGAGGGAGGAGGTTCTGAGAGCCAGGTGGCCTTGCCAAGTAGCTGGACAGTTGGTGGCTCAGCTGCCACCCAGCCTGTGCTGGGGGCCTGTCCTGGCATAGCCCACGGTCATGTGCTCAGGCGTGGCAGAGCCTGGGTACTCACCGGGCCTGTGCACTGGCACTCACCATGACTGTGTACTCCGTCTGGGCGCGGATGGCACTCTTCAGGAGCAGCAACTTTTCGGAATCCTGCAAACAGACCAGACTTGAAGCATGTGGGGTGTTAAGAGGCTGCTCAGTGACGAGCAGGCTGAAGGGGCGGCTCCCTTGAGACCCCTCAGACGGAGCAGGGCTTACCGGCACAGCAGCCTCCTGGTCTGTGACAGCTTTCACAAACCTCAGTGCTTCTGGAGTGGCTGATCGAATGTTGTCCACCCGTCCCTCCCGGAAGCGACGGATGGATGCGCTCTCATAGGTGGGCACGAGTCTGCGATGGAGCCTGCACAGATGAGGGATGAGTGCAAAGGTGATGCATCCTCAGGGACTCAGAAACCAGGAGAAAGATAGCCCGGGCGGCTTTAGTTTTACAGTCCTGGCTTTGCTTGGCAGAGTATTTCATTTTAATGGTAATAGAGCTCTAGGAGGCTTCCCAAGATGAATGCCAGAGTCGCTAATATTAAGAGCTATGTTCATTTCCATACAGTGGTGACACTGCACAGGTATAAAGCAAAATACAAAGTAGCTGTAAAAAATCCCAACCTAGTGGGAAACCTAGAATTTTCTGCAAGACCTGATGAATCTTTGATTAATAGCACAGAATAGAATAATTGTGTAATTAATCATTCACGCCCCCGAGAGAATCCTGTTTTATTTAAAACAATTCACGCATGGACTATGGATGGAGGCAAGGAGGGGCCTCAGTGGTCATGGGTGTGAAGTCCAGAAGCACCTGGGCTCCCCACAGACCCCTGGGCACCCCTGGGTGCGCCTCTCCTCCGGAAAGCCGCGACAGGTCAGCAGGCCACTCCCCCCTACAGCCAGAGGCCCTCTCTTCCTTAGGCACGAACCAGACCAGCACCCTAGGCTTGCGCTTGCAGACCTGGCTGGCACACACCTTTCTTTACCAGTCAGTAAAGTCCTTGGTTTGGGGGTTGGGGAAGGGAAAGACACAGAACTGAGAAGAAGAGCAGTGACAGCCCTGGGTCTCGGCCTCCTCAGGTACGTCTCTCCCACGCTGGGTGGCCTCCAGGAGGGCGGAAGGCCAAGTCGACTGGGCACAGTGCTTGGCTCTGTTTGCTTGGTGTACAAGTGACTACGCTTCCATTACCCTTCTGTCTCATTTCCCCAGGACACTGGCAGGGAGCTCCTTCCCTGTGTCTCCATGTCCCTGGAGGCAAACAGACGCCCTCACTGGCTGGGTACTGGTCAACCTCCCTGTAGGCAGCTTCCAGGTTCTTACTGAATCTAGGAGCAGATTTTTTTTTTTTTGTTTTTTAATTCAAGCTTAGACTCTGGAGAATGTTCTCCATGTTTTAGCTATTCATGAGCCCCTGAGCCTCTGGCCATGTCCATTCCTGCCCAGGTCCAGTGACAGCAACGATCGCATGAGGAGGGGGTGCTCTGTGTAGGTTCCTCTTGGCTTTGGATCTGAAGCTCTGAAGTGCTCACTGAGGGGGGCAGGCAGTCATGGCTCCAGCAGGACCCTGGCCTCACGGCCCATTTCAGCCAGTTGTTATGTATCAGAATGACACTGACTGCAGTTCCAGACACAGGTCCTGCCGCAGTTCTATGGTGACAAGGTCTGCGTCCTGGCAATGCGGGGTGACGCCAGACTTCCCCAATGAGTTAAGAAGACAGATTGTCAGAGTGGCTGCTCCCTTTCCCAGGAGTCATGGCCCCACAGGCCACTAGGACCCACACGTGCTGCCTGCTCTTTGCTGAGACTGCCTCGCTCAGCTTTAGACAAGGTCACTTCGTGTCCCTGGATGTTGCAAACCGAAAGCAGATCTGGTGGACGATTGCAATTTGCCGTCATGCCAGCCTATGAGCTGTCGCCCCTGGAGCCCTGAGCCCTGGAGCGCCCTATCTTGAGGAAGATCTACTTTGCATGTTAGTTTTAGCATCTACACTCTGCCTTCAACCCTTACCCCCTACCACTATAGAGGTTTTTCTAAATCACAGACCTGGCCATGCCACCCCTAGCTGACACTCACGTTGTGTCTTCTCACATTTGACTCAGTGCCTGAGGCCTACTCTGTGCCGGGTGTGCAAGGTACCCCGAGTGTCATGCTTGGGAGGGACAGTCTAGAAAGCAAAGTCAACAAATCAATGGACAAGGTAGTTCACATGAATCACAACCGCCACAAAAGGAAAAGAGAGACAATGGTCTGACAGAGGACTGGGTGGCAAGGGGCCTGAGGTGCCTGTCTTAGATAAGGGGTCACGAAAGGCCTTGAGTCGTGGGAAGGAGCTGGCAGGAGAAGAGTGGTGGTGACAGGTGAATCGGCAGAAGCGCAGCCAGAGCAAAGGTCCAGAGATAGGAGAGCTTGGGGGAGACCCCAGGGGAGCCAGCTCATAGGAACTTGCTAAGCCTGGATTCTGGGAGGTCCAAGGTGGTAAATGAGAATCTCATTTGCGTATTTCCAACTTCACGCTTTATGAAGACAGGATCTAGTGAGCCAGGTGGGAGGCAGAGACCCCGGGGAGCATGCTGCGGTTGGCCAAGCACGAGGTGGCAGGGGCTCTGGAGGGGCCAACGGAGGGGGAGGGAGGTGGATGGAGGTGAAGGGCAAAGAGACATGTGGAAAATAACTGAGTTGGTGGGGGACAAGAGACAGGGATGAATCAAGGATGATTCCTAAACCTTTGACCTGACCCACTGAGGGACGCTAGTTCCATTTCACTATTGAGGCCAGGAAAACAGGAGGTTGTGCTGCAGCTACAGGGACCAGGTGGACTGGATGAGCTCAGGAGGAGGTGCACCTTCTCAACCCGATGTCCCCACCGCCGGCCTGGCCTTGGTTAGCTCGTTCCTGCCTTTGTGCTCTGTGCCCCTGGCCGTGGCTCAGGCACCTGCCTGACTGGGACGCCTTCTCCCTTCTGAGAAGGTTTTACACCTTGAAACCCTGTGAGGTGGCACCTCCTTCCAAGCAGGCCGCCCCGGTCCTCCACCCGCCCCCCAGCCCACAGAGGCCTTCCTCCCTCCGGTGCTTCTAGACTCTGGAGTCAGAGCAGCTTGTCGCAGCCCCGGGCGGCTCCGCTCACCTGTAGAAGGCCAGCTGGAGGGCCACCTGAATAAAGGCGTCGGGGCTGCACTTCTGCTGTTTGATGAACGTTTTCCCGTAGTTGTCAAACTTATAAACCACGAAGTCGAGATTCTTTACTATTCTGTGGAAAAAAGAGAAGATGTTTGATTTCATGCAAAATAGAATGCACACATCCAAGTCTAACCAAGTCTCTTGAGCCTGCACGGTGCCAGCACTCAGAGGTCCAGGACGGTGCCTGCCCTGCAGGAACGGAGCGTGGCACAGGGCATGCTGGGCCAGGCTCACTCTCGACTGAAGGTGGGGCGTGGCTGGGTGGATGGTGGCCTGCCTGGCTCGAGGGAGATGGGCCTGGCTGCAGGGAGGGCAGGAGAGGCATTTGCACGGCAGGGAGAACACGGCCAACAAACCAAATCTTAGCAGCCCTGCGGAAGTGAGCCTGGGAGAGGCCGTTCATTGGCCTGTTTGGAAGGTGTGTCCAGCTTCCCTATGGATTCCTTTGGCACCTGGGCCATTCTGCCAGGTCCGCAAACCCTCTTTGTCCAGGGAAAAGCCCAGTTCTCAGATGGCTGCGCGTAGCACTCCTCTCTGAGACTCATCCCTGTTGCACTCAGCGAAGGCTGCCTGCTGGTGACTAAACATCCATTTTACCCAGAAACTGCTGCTGCTGCTCCATGCCACACCCAGGCCCTTGCTGCCCATGAGTCACTGTCAGAGTAGCAGGAAGGTTCCCCGAGTCTACACTGAACCCTGAGCACTGGCCTCTCCCTTCCTGCCCCCCAATGTGGCCACAGGTCTTTCCCTTCCTGCCCCCCAATAGTGGCCACAGGATTCTCCCTTCCTGCCCCCCAGTAATGACCAATCTCCTCCTTCATAATGAGCTTGGGGTCTGGGCTGACTGCCCACTGGAGCAGTGCCCAGCAAGGTCCACACCACACACCCACCAGCCATGTGCCAGCAGAACCCTAGGGGCAACCTTGGCCCCACTCACACACTCGCTCCCTCTGGACTTGGCGCTCCCTGCCTTCGTCCTCCCCGCTCCCCACCCCGGAACTGTTTCTCCTGCCGCACACACGTGGCCTCAGCTCTCGGTGGGGCCATGTCAGGTCTGGGGACTCAGAACGCAGAGAGCCTGTTCCCATGGGAACGCCTGGCCCATTGACTCACCGGCCCCACACAGGCTGAGCTCACGGTCACCACAGCCCCCTGGAAACCTTTTGCCCAGACTCTGCCCACTCGGACCCCACCCTTTTCCATGTGCAGCTCAGGACCCTCTGTTTCCCCACCCACAGGCCTCTCTGGCTGCTCCTGGGCCTCCAGAAAGCAGCTGGGGGCCTCAGGATCAAGCGGGCCTGCTCCAACTCCTAAAAGTGAGCAGGCTCCTCCCCTCACCCCGGGCTCAGCAACCAGCTCACCCTCCTAGTGCTCGGCTTATCCCCACACAGCTGCCCAAGGTTGAGATATCAGCACCACCTTAGGGATGAACAGCGGACACCCCTCCTCCACAAAGGCCCGCCAACCTCCCCAGCAGCTCCCAGTGACCTTGTCCTCCCTGCCCCTCGGCCTCCAAGCCCAGTCACACTCTATCCAGCTCACCTACCCTGTTCCCACAGGCTCCTCCTGGCTCTCAAAACCCCTGCACAAAGTCCTCCAGGGCTCCTCACAGAATACAGTTCCTGTGTTCTCTGTGGGTTTGGGTTACTGCATCACACACCTTTGCTGTGGGGTCCACTTCCCCCACTAAAGTACGGAGGGCAGGCCCCTGGCACATCACCTCTGTGTCCTCAGAGTCTTAGCACAGGCCTGGCATAGGCTGGAGTCTGCATATGTTGGTCGAATGAATGAATGAATGAATGCACTCACATTCACTGAACAAGGGAATGACTAACCAAGGTCCAGATTCAGTTGTCAGCCCACGGCTCTCTCCACACCTTGCACCCCACCCCCAGAGGGGCCCACACCTGTCCCTGGCCCCCCTGCTGGGGTCCCATTAGGGCCTGAACTGCCCTTGGGAATAAAAGTTCCCTTATCAAGTTGCAGTGTAAATTCAAGCAAATTGAAGTAGCTTGGATTCAAATGAACTATTCAAACCAGTTGTTTATTACTCCTCCAACAGGATGGTTTCCCCGCCTCGACTCTGCTCAGTCAGGTGGAACCCTTGGGAAAAAAATAGCTGCGCGTTTGCATTTTATGGAAATGATGGATCCTTCAGCAAGGCCATTTCCTCCGAGTTATAACCCCCCTTCACTTTGCCTACATTTCCATGTGGGGTGGGGGCGGAGGAGCGGGGTCTCTGGAATGCTTCAGGGTGCCTCAGCAGCCAGGTCAGGAAGGAGGATATGGGGTAACCCCAGAGCATCACCCCAAAGGAGACGGGCTTTTCCTTACCGTTGAAGTTTTTCTGCGGAGGAAGCTAGGAAGCCTTGAATTACGGGGGAGCATTTCCACCTCAGCCTCCGGGGGGCCGGCAGCTCACTGACGGAGTCAGCTCGGACCAGCTTCTTGCTGCTCACCCTGCAGGCAAAGAGGGCCCTCCTGCAGCCTGTGCCGGGGCTGCGGGCAGCAGCTTCGGGGCCTCCGCAGCCGTCCCAGCGGCTGGAGGGTCAGTGGGCAGGAGCTGCCCAGCCACTGCCCTGAGGCTCAGAGGCCACCCAGACTAGCAAGGGGCAGGCCAGGGTCCCTCCAGTTCCACCCGACTCCAAAGCCAATATTAATAATAATTTTCCTGTTCAACTACATATACCACTAACAATTATAAAACATTTGGAGAAAAATTGAAGCAAACTGTGCTGTTCTGTTTGCAAGGGTTGGTTGGGTTTTCAGTGACCCTAAAGAGCTCCCACATCATGGAAGAGGTTTAGAACTTAGATTCAGGGAGAAGGTTCTAGAAGGAGAGCATGAGAAAAGTCATAAATGAAGCAGGAACGCGGTGTGTTTAAAGGCCAGCGAAGCCCTTAGTCCGGCCAGCTCGAAAGCGAGGGAGGGAGGCCCAGCCGATGGATGGAAGGAGGTGTAGCTACAGCCCTTCCCTCCGTGCTGGGTCTTCAGGCCGCCATCCTGGGCTCGGGGCTCACAATAGGGTGGATGGGAGCCTCCCTGGGCTGAAGAGATGTTTCTGATTAGCTAAGAGCTGCCACGCCTCTCCCTGACTGCTCTAAACCCGCTGTCCGTGGCTGGTAAGGTGTAAAATGTCCCTTTCAAGCTGGTTTGCAAATCCAATTTTGCTGACACTTTCCAGGCTAGCACAGCCCCATGTGGCCTCCTGGTTTCGTGGGCCGCTTGGCTGCTAGGGAGTCTGGTTTGCAAATCCAATTTTGCTGACACTTTCCAGGCTAGTGCAGCCCATGTGGCCTCCTGGTTTCGTGGGCTGCTTGGCTGCCGGGAGGTCCTGCCCCCAGACTCACATGTGCTTGAGGAGGTGCTCCACGCACTGCACCAGGACGATGCCGTCGAACGGGGAGTGCTCGCACACCACGCCGCAGGTGCCGTCCCTGCCCACCACAAACTGCAAGTAGAAGAGATGTGAGCAGGTCTCTGGAGTCAGCATTTCACACCTGCCCTTCGGCTCCAGGCCGGGGCCCCTGGCCACCGTAGGGGACCCCTCCTTGAGGCCACCAAAGCACGTTATCTCCCGAAAAGAACACTGCACGCCGCTGCCAGGGCCCGAGCCTGTGGGCATCGCACTCAGCATGGCCCCGAGTGCCCTCCCAGAAATGCTCTGGGCAGGGCAGGCGCAGCCCAGGGTCCAGTGACCCCTGAACAGCTGGGCACACTCTCCGTCAGTCGTGGGCCCGTTCCCTCAGTGTCTGTGAGCCCTGAGTCCCCTTCACAGGGGGTGGCAGGGCCACCATCCTTACTGCACTGTGTGAGGGGGTGCCTGGTGGCCCCTGTGTGTTTGGGCACCACTGGTTTTATTTTCAGGATCTAGACCAGTGTCCATCCCATGGCAGGTGCTCAATGATTTTGTTGGATGACCGAATGAAAGATAACACTCCAACCTGGACGGCGCACAGATTCCTCCGGAGAAACAAAACCTCCCCTGATGGGAGTGAGGAAAAGGTGTATCAGGACCCGACTCCACCCTGGCTGGGGCCGCGGCTGGGAGAGGCCCACAGGCACCTCCTCTGGCTTCCGTCCGCTCTTGGCGGACATGCCTCCAACAGGGCTGGCTCACAGCACTGATCTGAGGGCTCCAGAGAAGGCACATGGAAGGACCATGGGAACTGGGACGGGGACTTATGGATTTTCATGATCTTACAGAGGCTGTAGTCAGCTGGCAGGGAAAAGGGACATACTGTGCACAGAAACACTGGGAGAAAAGAATGAAAATGAGCATCGACTCTTACAGCATCACCCAAGTAAAGCAGGGCCGCCGGGAGCTCGGCCAGCTCGCCACACTCAGGAGACACTAGCCCCCCAGCCGTAACCAACCAGGCGAGCGAACGAGCTACTGAGAGCTACTGAACCCTGCCAGGCACACGGCACACAGCACACACCGGGCCCACTGTCTCCACTCTCCCCCAGGGGCCCACAGCTGCCAGCCGCCCCAGTCTTCGCTCCCATTCTTCAAACTTCCCACAGAGAGTCTCTCAGAGCTCCTCCCTTTTCTCGCCCCTCCCCCAGTGCCCCTGCCTTCTGTCCCAGGATGCTCTCTGTTCTTCCAATTCCTGTCCATGAAGCCAGCAGCCAGCGGGCTTCTCCAGCTCGCCTGGTAACCTGCCCCACCTCCAACAGAACACAGAGGTGGGTACAGTCCCCACATGAGGCCGGGAGGGGAGGACGGTGCCCACTCACACACTGATGTTTTTCTGTCCCTGCCACTAAAAGAAAGGCAGGCAAACAGGGCCTTTTAACGACTGCTGCCAAGCCTTACTATGCTTCATGTCCTGTACCTCCATTATATTATTTCCCTCCCACAGCTGCTCCGTGGAAGGTAAGCCATTAGCATCTCCATGAAGGCTGACACAGCCAGCGCAGCAGCGAGGACACATCGGAAGTAGCAGCAGCAATATGCACCCCGACGAGAGGGTAACTGCAGGACGCAGGGCAGAGGAGGACAAAATAAGCCTAAACGCTCATTACGTGTGAGCAATGCCAACCCGAAGCCAGAGATCATTCTGCTGTTTAATTGGGTCACTGTGACAGTGCGGTGGCTTTAAAAACAAACAAGATTAGATTTAGGGTGGGCATGCTGGGGCAAAAAGGATGTAAGAACGGGAATGAGTGGCCCCCCCCCCGCCCCCCCCATCTGCATGAGTGTTTTCTCCAGACCAAGGCAAGTGCCTTGTTTCTGAGCTAACGTCATACAAATGAAAAAAAAAAATGAATTGCTTTATTTTATTTTGATTTTTCTTCTGTGGAGATGCTGGGCTGCCCTACCTCCCAGGGATGAAGGGAGGTGTGTCCAACGGCCAGCCAGGGTGACAGAAACTCAGAAACACAAAACATCTCTGGGCATCAGATGTGATTCTTGCTGAACGTGTTGAGGACTTGTTTGGTGGGGGCCCTGGCAGGCCCTCACCTTACAGTGTGTGGTGGGAGATGGGGAGTGAGCCCAGGGCCGACCCAGAGGACCCAGCAAGGCACCGGCTGCTGGAAGGTTACTGAGCTTGAGTGGGGTTTGGCCACCTGCTCCTGGGCTGACACCAAGGCCACATCTCCAACCCCTCCAGCTCCCTGGGCCTCGCATGCAGCATCCTGGCCAGCAGAGGCCGGAGAGCGGGTCAGCCCCACGTGAGCAGTGCTGGCTCGGGCCACTGGCCACGCGGCAGGGGCGACTCACCTGCAGGGACTTGTCGTACCAGCGGTTCGCCCCGTTCTTGCTGCAGCCTCCGCCGTGAAGGAGCTGGAGCGCCCTGTTGGTGTCACTGAGCTCCAAGCCCCCCGGGGCGTCCAGGCACACCAGGCAGATGCAGCGCTCAATCATGTCCAGCGAATCCCGGTTGGTGGAGTCTGCAGGGCGGGCAAGCAAGGACTCATCACCTGTCCCACTCGGGGCCTGGGCCCCCTCTGCACTGCCTCACACTCCACAGGCAGACACACACCCAGACACCCAGATCTTGAGCCAGTCCTGACCCCTCCCCTATCCCAGTGGGTGGGCTGTGAAGTCAGCCAGACTGTCTGAGCTTCTGTACTAGCCTGAGTGTCCCCCCAGCTGTGGCCAGTTATGCCTCCAGATGTGTGGCCACTGCTCTGCCTGCCTAAGTGAAAGGAGCTGGTGCAGAGCTTTGTGCATGGACACTAGACTCTACGCAGGGGAGGAGCGCCAATTCCAATGCCCCATCCACAGCGCCAATTCCCCACCCACAGCGCCA